CTCCTAATATTATTTTTTAAAATGAAAAATGTATTATCCTTGGGAAACTCCATTAGTCACATTTTATAGGCTTGTTTTCTATAACTAGGTTATACATATATTATAATTAATGGAATAATACCAGCTTATGGTAACTTCTCCACAATATATAGAATATGGAGAGTGGTAAGAATTGGTGATCAGATTTTTAGTTTTGTATTAATAATACTTACTATTCACTGATTTTAAAATGCACTATGGTTTTAGCATTGTGTTTTAAATTCTGTAAGGACAGGCCTGTGCCCATTGTTTTTACCATTTCCCAATGTGTAGTACAACGCTTGGCAAATGATAGCACGTAAGAACTGAGCCGGATCCCATCTTCATTACCTCACAATGGCACAAGTCTCTTTGGAGAAAAAAAATGAAGAGGACAAAATGATAAAAAGAAAGAGAAAAAATCAGTAGAGGCTTAAAAGAGGACAGGGGCTAAGTTTAAGTACCAATGAGAACTGTTCCTCTCTTTCGTTAAGCAGAGTTCAAATCTGTCCCTAATGAAGACTCAGTTTCTTCTGTGACTACAGAGGGGGCAGAGAGAGGGGCTGTCCATGAGGAAGTCATAATCATACATCATGTCAGATGTTGGATTCAAAATACCAATACCAAGTTGGTCTATTTTCCAAATGCATTTCAGCTATAGTGACTTTAGTTGAAGTACAACAATTAAGTTTTAATTGTCCAGATAATCATTGTGTTTACAGAAATAGAACTGTGTTTTACTATTTTTAGCCTTGATCCCAGTATACAGTTATACCCTTGGGCTCTCAGTGACTCAGAAGCCTTGTCTTTTTTTAAAGACTGCAGAAACAGAGGAGAAATATTGGCTTGGAAAGTCCACCTTTGTTAAAACAGCTCAAGGCTGGTTTGGGCTGCAAATCACTGCTCAAGTTGGCATCCTTGCCATGGGACTCACCAAAGGGCCATGTCTATTAACCCACATTAACTCACAGAAAGTAGACTTATAAAGACATTTACTTAACTTGTATAAAACCAGTGGAAAGTTGTTCAGGTTGAACAGATTATGAGGTATAAACTATGTGAATCTCTAATATTCTAATGTAATATCTTGTAAGAAATACTTTTTTTTTGTATGGAATAAGAATGCAATTAAAACACCTAAATTTCTCTTTTATCTTCAGAAAGTCATTAAGATCATGGTGCAAAAATAGATTTCTCTTAAACCTCATGTGCTAATTCGTAGAGGTTTGCTAGATAATTTCCACTGATTTTTCTCTATTCATTCTCTATCCCTCCTCACCACATTGTATGCCTCCTGAGGTTGACCTCATGCACTATCTGGGTTTCCTTGTCTTTTAGTGTCTCTTTGATTTAATTCATTAGGTTTGCTTTAGGTAGAAGAAGAGAGAACTCTGGGTACTTATTTCCTCTCTGGCTGATCAAATTTTGATATTTTCTTTATCTTTCTAAAACCACAACTCTTTTTGGTTTGGCTTTTGTTCCTTTTCTCTAAGTCCTTCCTCTTAGACTTAAATGACTAGGTTTATATGGCAGGAAAAAGAATAGTTCCCTACAAATGTCCATGGTCTAATCTCTGCAAACAGTAAATAAGGTATCTTACATGGTAGGAGAAACTGAAGATGTGATTAAGGATCTAAAGATGAAGAGATTCCAACACCAGATCATGGGTTCCATGCTTTCATGGTAAACTCAGGGATATCTCTGGAGATGAACTGGAAATCTTCCCCTGTGAGTCAGTTTTACAGAGCAACATGTTTTACTAGCCCCAAGATTAATATTGCTTCTTTGTACTTTTTTATATTTTCAAGTTTTGAAACCTTAAATAAAACCCTAGACTGGAAGTTCTAAAGCAGTGATGGGACCTCATCACATATGTATGGTGGAATGTTTTGTATTACAAATAAGTCTTTTCTGGTTTTACTCACTGTTAGAATAGTTATTTCTTCTACCTACAACTATTTGTATAGAGTACTATTATAGTTACTGGTATTCTAATCTGACTTCTTTATCATGTTATGTGCATTTTAGGGAAAACAATGCTTGATATTGATCTCTTCCTGTATTCACAAGGCCCTATGTGAGGCCTCTGGTATGTATTTACTGAAAACTTTATAGTGAATTTAATTTATAGATGCTTAATCAAAACTTTGATAATGAACTTAATTTCAGATTCATAAAACATTCAAGTAGCAGACAAAAACTGTGAGGCAAATTTATAGAACAGGAAGAGAAGCAGAAGATAAACAACCTGATTTAAGATTTGAATGGATAGTAAATTATTTATATCATATTCTTGTCACAGCATTGTTCATTTCTAATTTGTTTACTAAGAAAATGGATGAATGTGAAGCACTTAGCTGAGGTAAATATTAGGTTTAGGCCACTCAAAAGTCACATCATGTACCAGAACAGATAAGAGAAATAGCTTTTCATACTTTAGTAAAACTGGGAAGACTTCGTGGACTACAAGGAATCTTTAATTAGAGACCATTAAGTCTGTTGAGTAGAGAAAGACATTCTAGTAACATGGCCCTTCTTTGGAGACAACTCAAGGAGGGAGTAGTACAGATCAGCCAATGTGATTTTTCTCTTTTTTTTTTTTTGGGAAAAGAGAGCCCTCATAAAGGATTATTATTATTCTTAAACAAGATAGACATGGATTTTGTGCCTTTTCTTTTCTGAAGTTTCATATCTGTGCTGAGTGAAATCATTAACAAACAATCATTCCTTGGTATTAACTCAGTTACTCCTTATGAAATATAGGCCTACCTAATCTCCATTTTTTTCAGATGAGGAAATGGAGGCAGAAAAATGTTACATAACAAGTCTTGACAAGGCCAGGATTTGAAGCCTGGTAATTTGTAGTAAGCACCTCTGCTTTTCCATTTTGCAATACAATGATTAGGGGGATCTCTATTATTATAAATATGCCAAAAGTAACTTACAACTGGATTTTGTAATTAGCCTATAATCTCTAATCTTAGAAAGAATGATGATAATTAGATTACTCACCTACCACTTGGCTAAAATGGTCAAGAGAATGAGCTTGCAGAGACTAACCGTGAAAATTTCTGGTTGTCTTTTGTCCCGTTTTCTGAGAGACAAAGGCTGTTCCCAAGTCTGAAAGTTTTGAGATGATTAAAGACCCCTTCTTTAAAACAGAATTCCAAAAGTAGCATAAATAATATTGAGTAGTCACTATATATGGCCGAGACTAAAATAAATACAACAGATGACTTATCTCTGTTTCTAGATATTCTAAAATTTCTATTTCATTGCAGTGAAAAGAATCAAAGTGGACCAGCCGGTTTCATAGAGTTTAAGGCAGCTGGATCTCCACATGCCCAAGAATGAGGTTTGAGCCCCAGATCTGGTGGCTTGAAAAACACATCAGGTGCATGAGCATGAGTCCCAAAAATCTCAAAAGGAGACTTCGTAGAGAAGAGATTGTAAGAGATTGTAGCATAACCATCCTTCATGGGGGTGCTTTCTTACTTTTCCTGTCTCCCTCTTTTGCTTTGCCTCTCCTTCTCTCTCTCTCCTATCTCCTCTCCTCTCTCTTTCTCTCTCTCTCTCTCTCTCTCCAGTGAGCACAGCACCCTCTAGCAAATTAAAAGAGAAAAGAATTAAAGGAAATTCAAAATCAAAGAGCAAAGTTAAACTCAAGTTTGGCAGGTCTTAAAGTATTAATAAAAGATAAAGTCCAGAATTTTACTTCCAAATCCCGAAACACTATGAGGCATAGTGGGAAAAACAATGCTTGGATGACTCTCCCTGAATTGCCATTCTCTAGCTCTATGACCTTTGGCAATTCACTGAGCGTTGACAAATGTAACAGAGGTATCGGTCTAGGTTATTCTTCCTTCTCCTACACATTTGACAAAAATCCATGGTGACAAACCATAGAGAGAGCAATTTTTGACCTAATCCCCAAAGACTGCATCATATGCTTAATTTATTTTGACCTTCATCACGGAAAAAAATGGTTGCTACTAGTCAGAATAATATTGAGACTTAGAAAAAGGGATGAAGGCCATACAATGAATAGACAGTAAACAAAACCTAAATAAAAATGACATTTTTACATCTCTGGAAGGTGAGAAATAGATACTTAAATTGAATACAAGAAGCCATGAGAGGCCAATAGAATTACAGACACACAACATTTAGGGCAGCTGTGTTCGTGAAGAATTATACTTTATCAATCTTTTTGAGAATTTCAAATAACTTTAAGAAAATATGACCCTGTCTTTAGAACAGAACTAATCAACTTCTAATGTTCTTAGTTTGGGAGTGGGCCACAAAAGGATTCTGTGGTTTTTGAGTATTACTATCTAGTGTGTAAGGTTTTTTTTTTTTCCTTTTAAACTAGAAACATGGATTTCCAACCTATAGTTTAAAAGAAGATTTGCAATGCAAATACCCCTTAAAACAGAATTGTGATGTAGTGTTCCATTAAGGCATATATGAATACTACTGGATTCTTGTAAGAAAGGTGATTTGATGGAGAGAGGAGAAATATGGCAGTAGTACTTGGGAGACACTGGAAGTGAGGGAAATCATTTTTGATCATTTGTTGAACTTCACTACATTGGGTTGGATTATCTTGCCTAATTTGTAGGTAGTACAAATGGAGTCCTCTAAAGTCTGAGCTGACAATTGGCACATGACTGATAAATATTTAGTAAAGTTGGACTCACAACTCTGTCTGACACCAGAGTCCATATTCTTAACCAAACCTAAAGTCTTGAGATAGTGAAGACTTGAGCTTTTCTTCATAACATTTCTGAATGTTCCTTCTCTTCCTACACCCTAAATATATCTCTTAATTTTTTTGAAACACAGCCCCATGGCTCAGAAATAAAACTCACTGAAAGGGAATTTGGGGGATGTAATAGGAAAGAGCGGTCACAATCTTTTAAACAGTACAACCAGACCACTAAGACACTCATGGATTAGAATGCAGCATTTTTATTGTAAAAGTCCACATGTTAGGCAATTCTTCTTGTGAAAAGGTTTTCAAATACATAGACAGGGTATAGCTGATAATTAAGAATTAGATTATATATAATATATATTCATATTGTCAATACTATGCACACATTGAAAAGCTAGCTTTTTTAGTGTCCCCATTGCAGAACACATTTCAAGTTGACAATAATATGTTGCTCATCATTGAAATTTGCCAGCAACTCTCCCAAAAGAGTCAACATTGAATATCTTGACAATTCAAAACAAGAAAATAATTCATTCTATTTACATTTGTTTGAGGTTTTATACTAGAGCACTAATATAGTAAAATTGGCAGCTAAATGTGTTTCAAGATTCATCCAGATGACTTGATGATGACTTTATATGGTTTCATAGTAACAAAGTCACTCTCCCTTCTTTTCTACTCTTTTTAGATTATCTATAATGTGTTACTACCTATGATTGACTTTTGGCTTAGAATAGTGATTGCCATAAAGAAGAAGAACTGGCAAAGGGTGCTATTTTAGAAAAATAAGGATTCAGGATGTGTACACAAAGATGGGACTCAACTCATCAAATCGGAAGTCTGGGGCAATAGTCTTCTGAGCACAATCATTGGCTAAACGTCTAGGTAAGTCCTTCATTTTCTTTTTCCTTTCAGTTTTGGATTCATCTTCAAAACATTTCTTTCTTTACAGAACATAGAATACTAGATTTGAATACCAGTATGATATTAATCTTGCTTATGCCTGTCATAAGTTCACAAGTGAAATTGTGAATAGGACAGATTGACTCATCTCTAAACCTGGGGGAAAAAATACATATACACAGATTCTCATTATATCCTAATAGAGTCATTTCTGTACATAAGCACAGGACATAAATATTGTTTTAAAAGTATAGACTTTGCCTAAAATAAATTTCTGAAGATGGACATAGCCAAAGTTCTTTGGATCCTCTGACTCTTTCTGCAATATCAAAAATCACTTTACAAAGCCCGTGTGAAGAGAGGAATTGTTGATTCCAGGTCAGCATGGAATAGGTCACCAGAGAGCAGTTCAGTTCAAACCAGTTTTATTGAGCACCAACTATGTGCCAGGCACTATATAAGAAGCTGAGGATCCAAAGAACTGGCAAGGATTCTGCCCACAAGGCATTTACAATCACTAGATGCAGATCTGGAGATGGAGGATAAGTTTGATTATAATCTATTGTTCTAAAGGGGAAAAAAAATACAGCAAGCACATACAATTACTTTATCCTCTAGTTATGAAACTGGGCATATTTAGATGTGGCAGATGTCAATTATTCAGTCCATATTTTACTTAAAGTGTTGTAATATATCATACAACCAAAAATAAACTGATTGAATCTTCATGCAGGAGGGAGAAGGCCATGAAAATTCCTCCCTTCAATTCCAAACCCAGTCCTCATGATTACATTCATGATTCTTTTATAACTCAAAGACACAAAATAAAAGACCATACTTTATGATGATAACGTCAATCCATTTATTTTGGCTCTAAAGAGATGCATGCATTAAATTCAAAGCATTCTACATTACTGAAATATTTACATCATTATACATGTGATGTGGAGGACATTTTCTTTCTATCTTGGGATAAAAGAGAATCAATTTCTAGTCTAGGCTTTTATATTTAGTGAGATTTGTGATTCTTCTCCAATGAGGTGGTATTCTATTGGAATCAAAATTACCACAATATGACCTCAAGTGAAAGGTACACTTCTGGACCTTTTTGTATCTAGTTTTATCAATCAGGTAAGATGCCACCACTGAAAATAGTTTGCTCTTTCACTATGTCAGTTGCTGTAGCTGAAAAAATATCATTTGGTTTTAATGTTCTTGCTCTAATTTTACTTTGCCTTGCAGGATTGAAACACAGTGAACATTAAAGTTTAAATTACAGGAGAGTTGAGCACAAACGATATGACATTATACAATTTACCAGGCTAGGACATAGAAATAAATTCAGATCCTTATCAACCACAGAGAGAATTATTTAAGTGGACTTAGAAAGGATACCTTCTCTCCAAGAGATTCACTGAATAAGACCCATATCGATAAAACCTTTACTTCTTCACAGGTAAAGGTAGGAGACCCAGTAAACCAGATTGAATAAGCAGAAGGCTGTGGGAAAGAAAATCCGAGCATACGAGTCCATTTTGGCAATACGGATGTGTATCCTCCCATGTCTCCAAGCTCCTGTTCGGCAATCTTCAAAACAGCAAAAAAAGCTGGCACAGTCCTTGCCGTCCAGACACTCATATCCGTATTCTTCATCTCTCTCTTGAAGGTGCGTGGCATTGTTCATTTGAATGGTTGCTGATCTTGGGCGAATATCAATGGTAGGGGCCTGAGACAAGGGTAGGGGAGGAAAAGGATCAGCATTTGTTTCACTTGAAACATCCTAAACTACTTGTCCACAATGTCACCAATGTGATGATGAATCTGAAAATGGGTACTTAGAAAATTGCCATGACACCGTGATCTACAATGGTAAAATTGAACTTAGAAAGATAGCACATTTGCAGAATTCAAATTTTGAGCTTAAGCAGTGCAGCTGAAAATAATATTATCAAGCTAATAGCTACAGCAAGAAGATTGAACACCAAAAGAACTCAAAGTTTAAAGATTTAAATCAAACTACATGAATCATATTCTATTCACTATTGATATGAAGTTGGTTACATGGAAGCATTTAATGGTGCTGCATGTGAGTGGAACAGAGAAATAAAAAATGCATCAATTCTGAAAACAAATTTTGTGTCATGCTTACTTGTAGTCAAAAAAGGAAAACCCATTACACTGAGCAAATATGTATCGAATACTATTTTGAAATGTTAAATATATATAAAATGTTAAATATATATTTATACATATATATAAATATATAACTTTCTTAATTTTATATCACACAGGTATGCCTTATGTTTTAACAGAATACGGTAACCTTATCTAACATTCACCATCTAGAAGCTTAAGAATGTCAGCAATGTGAATAAGAACCTCACAAAAAAATGCTACTACCTACCAAACTCTTTTTAGCATTTATGAAGAAACTAGTACCACTTAATGGTATGCTAATTTACTCTTTGCTGCCAGACCAAACATAAAATTGTTATAAAACTAAATGACTTATATAATGTTAATTTGAATGAGTTAGTTTTAGGATGAAAAAGACACAATTCCTACTACCTCAAAATCTACTGTCAAAATTGAATAGAGGGGCCAGTAGGTGGCATGGTGGTTAAGAGTGCTGGATACCCACATGGCTGACTGCAGTTTGCATGCTAGACCTGGTGGCTCTGGTGGTGCTTGCTCTCTCTCTCTCTTTCTCTCTCTCTCCCTCTCTCTCTCTCTCTCTCTCTCCCTCCCTCCCTCTCCCACCCCTTCCTCCCCTTCCCTTTCTGATCAAATTGAAACTAAATAAATTAATTAAGTAATTCTTTTAAAAACATTAAATAGAAATACCATAGTATTATTTTATCATAGATCCAAAAGTCCAGTGACCACCTCAAAAAGAAGGTACAGTTGTATTAACTTAAAGCCTTATAAAGACAATATTGTTTTATAGAACTGACAAATAGAATTTAGGTAGAGATTAAGTTTAAGAAACAATCTAAAAGCAATCTCATTATAAGTTAAGATTTATAGAGTTAAATTTAAAATTTAAAAAAGCCAGGAGCCAACAAGTGATGTAGTGATTATGGTGCTAGACTCCCACATGGCTGACTGTGGTTCCAGTCCTGAACCTGGCTGCTTGAAAATCACAGCGGGTATGTGTGTATACATGCCCCAAATCCCAAGACAAGAATAGAGGAGAAGGGATTGTGGCATGGTTGTTCCCTCTGGCGGATAATTTTTCATTTCCCTTCTCTCTGTCTTTCTGACTCTCTCTCTTTGGTGAGCATACATGCCCTACAGCAAATAAATATATAAAAAGTCAACATATGATTTAGAGCCAGTGAATTTGTGTCTCATTTTCATTTGAAAAAAAGAGAGTCAATTGGCCTTAACATTTGAATAGTCCTTTTTCTGTGACATCAGGTAGGACTGATTGATAGCTTTTGAGCTATCATGGTGTAATAACAAAACCTATGTAAGTTAGTGTACAGCTGTTAAATCAACTCTAGAAATCTACAGAACTTTCTCCATCTTGAACATGTTATCTCTAGTAGAATACTTAAATGTCTACTCATAAAAATAAAATAAAACACCATGTAAGCATTAATAGTTAAATTTAGCAGTTGCATGCAGTGAATTTCCATTCCAAAACATTATACCTTGAAGGAAAACATCCGAAGAAGCTTTGGGTTTGTAGACAGAAAAGAGAATTGCATTTTTTTTAATAAAAAGAAGGGAAAAAAAGTAAAGAGAGAGAGAGACAAAATAAGACAAATTAAAAATACATTTTGAAAACATAGTAAGTGAGATGAACTGAAATTATAAACACAGAAGGAGAATTCTGAGCTTGGGATAGGTATATGCTTAAAATTAGAAAATGGAATTTCATTATTACCTATAATAGTGAAATATTTAACAAGTTAATCTACAATTATCTGGCTACAAAAGCCAGTGTTGTTCAATTATGAGGACACTTCCTATTGCCTGGTTCCCTGTGATTTTATTTTGTAATTATTATGAAGGAGGCTTTAATAGGTGGATCTTGACACAATGAGCCAAAGTACATATTAAATGGAAAAATGAAATTTCAGTTTCTCACTCACAGTTTAGCCTTTTGCTAACTCTGATTAACTATCTAATTGGCTAAAAGGGGTACATGCAGTAAGTTCTCAGGTAATTTTGTCCTCTCAGTTTCTTTAATTCTGTCTCCTCTGCCTTCTTTATTTTTCTTTTGCTATTTCCATGATGTTGAATTAAGGAATCCTATTGTTTCCATCTCTGCAACAAATCCATTCTGCAATAACAGCTGATAGAGAAAGCCAAAGGACGTTTTTCCAAGGGACCCTTCAGAACTTATTTAAAAGTCAGTCCTCACATCCTTATTACAGCTGGCAGGTAATAATGCTGGGTGTCAATTGAACCATCTTCTTGGGGAACAAAGACATGGAAAGTGAAGGAGGGAAATAATAATAATAATAATAATAAACACAACAAGGAAAATAAAACAAAGGATAGAAAAAATGGAAAAGCAAAACAGACAGGGAAGAGAAGAACTGCATAGAGTGTAATAAATACAAGAGAAATTAAAGATAAGCATTTATATTTTAACCATCATCAGGAATAACGATGCTTCTTTTTTTTTTTTTAACCTGTGATGAAGCTTACATTCAAATGAACAAATTCCATTTACAGAATTCCGTGAAGGTTCCTAGAGAAGCATCAGAATCTAGGACTAAGTAGATCCTCTCCTCATAATTCAGCCCCCAAAGTGCATGGGTCAAATAGTTGACCCCTATCATAGCCCTCCTGACCTTCTCAGCAGAAGACCAAGAAAGGCTGTAAATCCAGGAAAGTAGGGTGATTTCTTTTGCTTCTCATTTAGAAGGGAATGATTTTAACTTTCATGAGGGCTCCTATGAGTCAGACACTGAGTTCAGGTAGATAAATGGATAGTTACATGCGCTCATAAATACCCTCAATAAAAGACAAATGCTTTAGGCATTAGTATTTGTGCCCTTTATTCTCTTTTTAAAGATTAGTGGCAAGGAGAAGTCATCCTACCTGTTTCTGAATCACACGGATATTGAAATAAATCTGGGTTGATAACTATATAATTTATCAACAGCCCTTATCACCAACTACTGATGGTAAGATTTTCATATGTAAGATATTACATAATTTTGAGAGGAAGACAGTTTACCTATATTACCACATTCATTTTTCATAGTAGCCCCTTAAGACATGTATTTTTAATAATACCCATTTTAAATATGAGAAGACATAGACATAGGGAGGGTAAGTAACTTACCCAAACAACAGGTAAGCCATTTGTTTCAAAAGCAAAAGGATACATTTCAAGTATGAAATCAATAGAAGTCTTCTGATGACAGCATACACACACACACACACACACACACACACACACACACTAATTGTTTATGAAAATGTGATCATTAAAGCTTCAAGAACCTTGCACCTCCTTAGTGAAATGCCTTGGATCAAAGTTTAAATTTAGAGCATTAGTAATTTAAAAATATTATGGAGAGTATGAAGATGAAAATCAATAAATCTTAGAATAATCATAATTATAAAAAGAGTGTGTTTCTCACCCATTCCTGGTTTCACTCATCACAAAATGAAGAGAGCAGGTAATTATATCTGCATAAAGAGTCTGATATGGGGATCAGCAGTTAGCATAATGGCTATGTCACTGAATTCCCATGTAGTTGACCACAGTTCGAGTCTTGGATCCAGTGGCTTACACTCACACCCGGCGTGT